TATAGAATAGAATTCTTTATTGGCCAAATGGGATTGGACACACAAGGAATTTGTCTTGGTACAAATGCTCTCAGCGTACATAAAAAGAAAAGATACATTCGTCAAGAATCATCAGGTACAACATTTAATAATAGTCATAGGGTGCAAATAAGCAATCAAATCATACTAGGAAGCAGTCAATATAAATTATTAGGATGCAAGCAACAAGGTTACAGTCATACAGTCACAAGTGGAAGGAGATGGGCGATAGGAACAATGAGAAGATTAACAGTAATAGTAGTGCAGACTTTGTGAATAGTTGGACAGTGTTGAGGGAATTATTTGTTTAGCAGAGTGATGGCGTTCGGGAAAAAACTGTTCTTCTGTCTAGTTGTGCTGGTATGCAGTACTCTGTACTGTCATTTTGAGGGAAGGAGTTGAAACAGTTTATGTCCGGGATGTGAGGGGTCTGTAAATATTTTCACAGCCCTCTTTTTGACTTGTGCTGTATACAGGTCCTCAATTGAAGGCAGGTGGGTAGTAATTGCTTTTTTCTGCAGTCCTAATTATCCTCTAAAGTCTGTGTCTGCCTTGTTGGGTTGCAGAACCAAACCAGACAGTTATAGAGGTGCAGATGACAGTAATTCATCTGTAGAACTGTATCAGCAGCTCCTTGGGCAGTTTGAGCTTTCTGAGTTGGCGCAGAAAGAACGTTCTTGGTTGTGCTTTTTTGATGACGTTTTTGATGTGAGGTGTCCATTATAGGTCTTGTGATATGGTAGAACCTAGAGATTTGAAGGTCTATATTGTTGATCCTGTGTTGTCTACTATTGTTAGAGGTGGTAGAATGGGAGGGTTTCTCCTAAAGTCTACCATCATTTCTATGGTTTTGAGTGTGTTCAGTTCCAGATTGTTCCGGTCGCACCACGAGGCCAGTTGTACAACCTCCTGTCTTTATGCTGATTCGTCGTCTCGAATGAGACCAATTGCTGTTGTATCATCTGCAAACTTCAGTATTTTAATAGAATAGAATAGAATAATTATAATCAGAATGAGAATTTCTTGTCCCAAAGGTGCTTTTCAAAAGACAACTGGACTTTCCTGTTATTTTTTGTTGTTGTTTTAACCTCCATAATGTTTTGCTTCTTATCCAGGAACTGAACCGAATAAGCTTCTTGGATGAGAAGTGAAATGTTTTCAAAGAAAAATAAAACCAAGAAAAGTCCAGTGGCCTTTTGGAAAAACCGTGAGCTGGACGGTTGAGAATCTCTACAGACATTCCTCTTTCTTCTTTCTTCAGGTGACAGCCGAGGTTGGATCAAGATGGAAAATTCTCAGCGGGGAGAGACTGTGCTGGAAGAAACCCCCAGGACGCTAGCAGACAATTCCCAGTGGACATTTCCTGTCACCTCTAACATTCATGGACTGAGGTGGGAATTCCAAGTGGATAAGATGCCCGCCAAGGGGAAGAATGAATGGTGTGACGTCTCAGATGATCTTACAACTGCCGTCGAGAAGAATCCCACCGCGCAGGCAGAACGGGGAAAGGCCCTGCCGCCGAAGCAGGGACGAAAATGCTGTTATAAACCAGGATTTGTGGAGATGCATGGGAAACCCTGCCCCTGTCCCTCTTTGGAGGAAACGATCCAGCAGAAATGTTACTTGGATAAACCTCAGAGGACCCATTCAGCTGAGCAAGAAGCGGAACCTTTGGAGGTGAGGAAAGACTTCCACCTGGGGGATGATTTGACGGGGTGCCCGAAAAATCACCCATCCGAGGAACCTCGCGAATGCCTGAAGGAGGAGAAAGACAGTAAAAGCCAGAAAGCCGTAAAGAGAGATCAAGGCATTCAGACGGAAGGGAGGCGGTATCGGTGTGCCCAGTGTGGGAAATCCTTCCGACACAGGCAAACATTGACCAAACACCAGAAGATCCACACGGGCGAGAAACTGCACGAATGCCTGGCTTGCGGGAAGAGCTTCACGTCGCGAGAACCTCTGCTGAGGCACCAGCGGATTCACACGGGAGAGAAACCCTACGAATGTCCCCAGTGCGGGAAATGTTTTCGGCAGAGGGTCCACTTGATGGGTCATCAAAAAACCCACACGGGAGAGAAACCTTTCAAGTGTCCCGAATGCGGGAGAAATTTCTCTCGGAGGGATAAATTGACCAGGCACCAGCGCATCCACCGATGTCAGCGAACTTACGCGCATCCCGAACTTGGGAAGAGTTTCGATCCGAAGGCAGCACTGCTCAAACATCCAAATCTCTATGAAGGACAATGACAGACTTTCGGCTTCATTCTTTGGTAGCCTATTTTACCAGACGGTTTTAAGTCTCCTCAAATGCCTGTCAGGATTGGGACAGGTTCTTACAGATCAGTGGTGGGCCGCAACCGGTTTAACAACCGGTTCTGTGAGTGCACGCTTCACACGTGCAGCATTCAATAAACACCCATTTGAACCTCTCCAGTTCACCTTCTAGCCCCGTGATGGCAAACCTATGGCACCTGTGGCACACAGAGCCATTTGTGCTGGCACGCGGGCTGCAGGCAAATTTACCTCACGGCGCATGCGCGCGCCTCCCAGCTGATTTTCAGCCTATTTGAGGCCTTTTTCGGCCTCCCAGAGACTTGAAGAAAGCCTTTGCAGGCCGAAAAACAGGCCCGTTTTGTCACTTCCTATATTTCTGGAAATACCGGAAGTGACGAATCGGGCCCATTTTTCGGCCTGCAATGCCTGCAGAAGCTTTCCTCAAGCCTCTGGGAGGCCGAAAAATGTCTCCAATGGGCCGAAAATCAGCTGGGAGGCTCAGTGCAGGTAAGGGGGCGGCGGCGGGGGATTGTGCACGCATGTGCAAGAGTGTGTGGGGGGGGGGCACACATTGCCTTCTGGGTGGTGGCAGGTGAGTGTGTGCGCACAATTTTTGGCACAGGAGCCCCAAAAAGTTAGCCACCACTGTTCTAGCCTTTCCCAGTGAAGTACAACAGCTGAGGCACAGTAATCCACTTTGCCACGCGAATCAACTGAGTTGCAAAAGAAGGAAATGTAAGACAGGATAGGGCGGGGTTGAGGCCAGCTGATCATCATACCGGTTCGCTAGACCCGATTCTAATTGGCAGCAACCCACCAGTGCTACAGACACTCCAAAAACGAAAACAAATAGCTTCAGGTTGTACATTTTTAGAGGATCGGCACAGAATTCGCCTCGCGCAATGCCACATGAACAGCTCTGTTTGTCAGGGCTCCAACATGCGCCCCCATTCAAATCACAAGTCTCTAGCAGCATCTCTTAAGAGTAAAAAATATTGATTTTTAGGAGTTAATGTCGGCGTTTCCTGGTTGCAGCCAACTCTGACACATCATTAATTTCCCCCTTGACCCTGGTCTTCCCCCCACCCCCTGGATGTATATTCTCCAATGAGACACATCCATAGCCAAGAGTCATCAATCATGTTCTCCAGTAATAATCTTGCGCGCCAACAGCTTTGGCTGATTATCTGAAGCATTTAAGGAATGCACTGCTTTTCTCCCCACTCCCTTTCTGCCCGCAACTAAAAAAGATCAAAGAAGTATTTTTTTAGTTGACTTGCTGTTCTTTGCCTCTTGCTTTTAAAAGCAGCTCCGAACTTTGACTGTCAATCCCATCATCCTCAGCCAGCCTTTCCTGCCTTGGACATTGGGAATCCAGCACCCCTCTGAAGGACCCCAGATGAAGGAGGGCTGAAGGAAAGGAGAACATTAAAGGCCCTCTGAATTCTGGAAATTACCACCGAGCCCTTCTCCATCTCTGCGGTAGTAGGAAGGATGGGGTGAAAGACGTTGAGCGTGGCCAGGAAAAGCTCGCTGTGGCAAAAAAAGGAGAGAAGTGTAAAAAAGGAAAGGGGTTTGATGGGGGCCGAGGCCACACCCTTTTTGAAAGGCGTGCCAAGATTGAAGACATAATGAAGGCAGAATTGAGCCAAAAGCAAAAAGGGGACAGTAAAAAACAAAGTGTACACTTGGCAAATGAACAATTTTAATCAGGACTGGTAAAAACCCTGTCTGCTATCAAGCAGGGAAAAGATTCTTTTATCCAGTTTCTTAACTTTGACAACGTTGAAATCCACTTCAACTCCCAGAATTCTGGGAGTTGAAGTCCACATATCTCAAAATGGCCAAAGTTTGAGAAATACCACTTTAAATCCCTGGATAAAATGAGCCCAATGTAGTCCTCTTGTGTTCTACTTATTTTTCCTTGTCACAATGGGATAGAAGTGCTTTGCTTTGTATGGCCTGGATGGGGGGAACGGGGTTTGACTTCCCAGCCTGGATTTCCTTTTGGTCTCCCATCCAAGTGCATTCGCCTGAGCGGCAGGCGTGCGTGCATGCCGCTTGCGCAAATGGAGCTGTGTGCGCACACACACTTGCTGGCTACTTGTGTGAACCATTCACACACACACACACACCCGGTGGTACACAAGCCAGAAACATTGGAGAACTCAGCACTAAGGCAATGGGGGGGAAGGGTAGTTCATTGGTTTGGGCAAATGACCTTCACAAGGAAAAGAGAAATTGGTCATGTCAAGGACTAAGTGTATACCATTATTCTTGAAAAGTGTGGTGCTCCTGTGAATCTCTTTCCATTCGTTTTTTTTATGTGATGATGCTCTTGTGAGCTAAAGAGCCTCATTCTTTCTTTCTTTCCTTTCTTCCTCTTCCTCTCTTTCCTTCTTTTTTCTCTTTCTTTTCTGTCCCTATTTTTTCCTTTCTCTTTTCTCTCTCTCCCTATTTCTTTCTCTCCCCCTTTCTCTCCATTTCTCTTTCCTTACTTTCTTTCTCCATTTCTTTTTTTTCTTTCATCTGTCTTTCTCCCTATTTTATTCTTTTCTTTCTCTCCCTTTCTCTCTATATCTTTTCTTTCTTTCTTTCTTTCTTTCTTTCTTTCTTTCTTTCTTTCTTTCCTTTCTTCCTCTCTTTCTTTTTTTCTCTTTCTTTTCTGTCCCTATTTTTTTCTTTCTCTTTTCTCTCTCCCTATTTCTTTCTCTCCCCCTTTCTCTTTCCTTACTTTCTTTCTCCATTTCTTTTCTTTTTCTTTCATCTGTTTTTCTCCCTATTTTATTCTTTTCTTTCTCTCCCTTTCTCTCTCCCTTATATCTTTCTTCTTCTTTCTTTCTTTCTTTCTTTCTTTCTTTCTTTCTTTCTTTCTTTCTTTCTTTCTTTCT